CACATTATGGTTTTTTTAGTCATGGATCGGATTTTTCGGATTAGCCAAAAAGGGGAGGGAACAAATGTAATTTGCTTTCCATTTATTACAAAAACAACACTGCAATACACTTTTGGTTAACAAACAGAACTTAAAAACCTGTAATTTTATTAAAAATAAAATGTAGAAATAATCAGCTTAATAAGGATAAATTGTAAAATATTTAGTGCTGTAAAAAACTCAGTGTTACTACTGCCGTTGCTGACATGCTATACGTTTAAATCTAACATTACATTATAATTTGTACAACCCATATTTATTTTTAGCCCCATTTTCAATAAATGATTCAGTTATTCGCTCATAAAACTTAATTTGTCCATGCGAGATGGATCATTTTTGAAGAATTATTCAGTGGACTAATCTTGATAGCTGGTTGGATGTCGCGTGGATGTTAAGATCCTGATCTTTTTATAATTTAATCGAGCAGCGTACACTGAATGCATAAATATCGACTAAACAAGTAGTGACAGAAAACCCCTTTAATAACCTAAGAAACCCACCACCACATTCTGAAAAACCTACCACAACTTCTTCTGTCATCCTTATATTTTACAGGAAAGCCTAAATGCTTTCATACACATGATTTGAATGACTCGAGAGGCAATTTCTTTGCAATCGTTAAAAATTTAGGATTAATCGACAAGTAAAAAATGTATTAGCTTGATCTGAGTTTTACGTGTGTTTCGAACAGTGCGTTGTGATCCGTACAAATACAGATCAACCGTGATCTATTACACTCCTACTTTCTCCCCCTTTTTATTTGAATTCATTCAGAAGTTAAAATGATTATGTATTTATTGTTTTACATGTTTTTGTGCAAAACAAATATAGGAGCTGTACTGAGATCTTTAAATAGATGCTGCATCCCCAAATTGCCCACTTATATTGTCCTAAAAGCTTCTTCTTCACACAATTGTACATACGTTTGAGTGTGTAAAGGAAGAGCATGTATGTTTTGGGATATTCTACTTTCTCATCAACAGACTCTTATTTTGCTTAGTTACACACTCTGTCACCATATCATCCACATTCTTTCATATGTAATTTCCTTCCATACTGGAGATGCAGCAGTATAATAATCAGCCATTTGCAAGTCTTTCATGCAGAGAAATCTCATCAGGCGTTTGCATAATTTTGCGTTCAGAATCTAATGACCAAACATGTCTTTATAAAAGTTCACGTTGTTGTTGCAGATAAAATATAACATGGAAAATATTATAATTACTTTCCAGTAGGTTAGATATTATTCAAAAGTCATTAAAACATCTCTAAGCTTCTCTACTTGCCAGTTGTTCTTAAACATGCGCCAGTTTTGTAGTTTAACACTGTTTTTACCTACATTTGTAGTTCTAAGCAATTTCAAGTCCAAAGCGCAATGTATTGTGGGCAATATCAGTGGTTAGAGTACAGAGGTTCCACACTTCAATGTTCTACTGGACATAGTAGTAGACTATCTGGGACCCTTTGGCATACTCTTTTCAATACATTCTATTTTCTGACCATTTAGGATGTTTAGTATGCGAATTGAAATGCAGCAAGAGTTGTTGTTGTTTATTAGTTTTTTTTTGAATGACATCAAATAAGGTAGATCAAGTATTACATTTTAAAGTATAAAATTTTTAATTATTTTTGTATTGTCGTAGAAGTTACTGGTAAACATTGACATTTTATTGCTCTACTATGGCGGCTGAGAGAGCTCAAATGCACGGCAAGTCAAGAAAACACATGCAAACAGAAGAAAACATCTACATCAATTTAACACATTCTCACAACATGTGAAAATACAAAAACGTGAAGTAAATGCAGAAATGTGTCGGGGGTCACAAAATGTGACAAACCCAGTTGCTTCCTGTTGAGTTGCCGGAGAACTAAAAGGTTAGTTTTTCGTTTATTTTAATATTCTGAGAGCTCAGTTTCATGTTGGTTGTATATTTTAGCCCTAACAATCTGACAAACTAACTCTTAAACATTTCAGTTATGGTCTGCGCTATTTGCTGCACATTTCTCTATTTCCATGTTATGAGAAAATTTTGTGCACGTGTTGTCAAATTAGTGGTGGTGTTTTTGGTAATGCATTTTCTTAAATTGCAGCACATTTAAACTCTCTGTATCATTGTTTAACAATAGCTTCTACACTAAAACACAATTAAACAAGATTAATATAATTAAAAAAAACTATATTTAAATATTACAAAGGAGCCCAAAATCCTGTATATCTTATTCTATACAACGGTCTTTCAAAATGACTGGATTTTACCCAGCAAGATTTTTTTAAGAATGTAAAACAACTAAATTTAGCGTGATCACCAGGGCCACACAGAATCTGCTTACACAGAAATCTGCATTTTTTTAGCCCATAGAGTGTACTTTTTTTATTCTGTTTTAAAATTAATTTCAGTAATATTACTGACTAATATGAAAATGTTTATAGGATTTATTTACAATACAGTATGTAAAGTAATATTTTATGTCTTTTTAATAGATATGTGGTAGATGAGAGAGAGAGTTTTAATTTTATTGCCATTTCAGTGTCTATGGCTATGATATGTGGTAGATATATTATATGAGAGACTTGCTTTGTTTAACAAACAAGTGGATCTAATTGGACATGCATTGTAAACATTAAATAATTTTTTTATTTCATATATTACGTTTTAGTTACGATACTTTCCGAAATCATTCTGCATTAATCTGCAGATTTAGTTTTTTTTTTTTTTTTACAAAATTCTGCACAGAAATAGCAAAAAATGTCTGTACATACTGTCTGGCCCTAGTGATCACGTACCCTTATGTATTTTAACCCTTTAACTGCCTGCTCTACCAAATGGTTGACCATGTTTTGACTGTTTTAAACAAATGTTTAAACTGTTTAAAATAGTGGTTTACACACACAGCATTGTTGGTTTGCAAAAATAAAAATAGAAAAAAATATAACAAATATAATCCTGTTGCACTACTACACTTGTTTTTGATGTTATTGTAAAAAAAAAACAAGAAAATGTGTTAAATGAGAATCTGAAATATGTTATGGCATACTTTAAAATGATGATGTAGTGTTCAAAAATGTTTTATTTTAATTGTATTTTTAATTAAATTGGTCTTACACTTCATATTTTATAGTATATGCCTTAATTCAGGTACACATCCATAAACTGACATGTCAACCATATGGTAGAGGTTGATATTTTAGAAATTATGGGATGTGTTGAAAAAAAAAAACGCATTGAGTGCTAACTAGCCACATTAGGCATTAAGAAATGCAATCCGATTTTTTTTTTCTTGTTGGGGCAGTTAAAGGGTCAAAAAGGTCAGACGGCAGGTTCCATTTTTGCAAAAATTTTCTGCCATGCTTAAGAATGATGATGAAATAGCACCCATATACTTTCATCATTATCATTAAAGTAGACATTTTGCACACATTTGATTGCATTTAATTTCATTTACCTTTATATGCAGACATTGTGTTGTTTTTAACCTAGGGTTGGCCAATTAATCGAAGTACATCGATCTAATTTTTCCAGGTCAATTTTTTAAATTACATTTCCAACCGCGTGTTGAGTCACGTGACCCTAGGCTCTGATAGGGTTGATTTATACTTCTGCATCAAACGTATGGGGGTATGGTGCAGCGCAGCCTTCACATAGTCGCATTTCCGCACACCTCTCACAAAAAGTAACTACACGTGGCACGTTTGCACTTCATTGACGCTGGTTGGATACTGTCCCAGAGATGCCTTGAGACGGCATATTTTCATAAAATAAAATAAATAAAATAATTGTTCATTACTGATAATCGAGTTAAAATTAATCATGATTATGATTTTAGGACAAATCACCCAGCCCTTTTTTTAAATCCCATACTATTGAACATTTTCTAGAACAAATCTAATATTTACTTGGAAGCTTCTGATATTTTCTACAAATTTATCATAAAAAATATCCCAACTGTATCTTATAATCCACTATCGAGACATTTGCAACCGCTAAAATAATTACACTACCATCTGTGATAAAAAGAAATTAAACAACTTTGAAATAAAACAGGCGACGCAGTGGCGCAGTAGGTAGTGCCTCACAGCAAGAAGATCACTGGTTCGAGCCTCAGCTCAGTTGGCGTTTCTGTGTGGAGTTTGCATGTTCTCCTTGCATTTGCGTGGATTTCCTCCGGGTGCTCCGGTTTCCCCCACAGTCCAAAGACATGCGGTACAGGTCAATTGGGTAGGCTAAATTGTCCGTTGTGTATGAGTGTGTGTGTGGATGTTTCCCAGAGATGGGTTGCGGCTGGAAGGGCATCCGCTGTGTAAAAACTTGCTGGATAAGTTGGCGGTTCATTCCACTGTGGCAACCCCGGATTAATAAAGGGACTAAGTCGACGAGAAAATGAATGAATGAATGAAATAAAACATGCTCATATCTACAAAAACAATTTTTAAATGCATTTTTCTTTACTACAGGCCTACATATCTGATCTTTAACTTCCTCACCAGATGCCTTTCTACATATTTTCTAGAGACCATATTCAGCACTCATACACCAAATTCTAGCACTTAACATCATCAATATGATACCATCAGTGCATTAGTGTGGCCACAGCAATACATCAGCCACAAAAAAAAACAGCCATACGCTCCATATTCTCAACAAATAACTTAACCTACATTAACAAATTAGAGACATTAAAGCCTCAACCTTGCAGTTTTCCATTTCCTATACTATAGGAACACATAATGGGCCCCTGCACACACACACGCGCCAGGATACATCCATACTATCCCAGATCCTGCCGCCTGTCCTAGAGTGTCATTGAAATTCTACAGGAATCTAATGACGTCAGTATGCACGAAGACACAATCCGACATCAACAAGTCACAAAATATCAATGTTGACATCCTCGTCGCATGCGTGTGCAGTGTGTTTATGCTGCATAATGTGAATGCTCAGCTCGTCCTTGTGTCACTTTACCTTGTAGATGTACCTTTCCGCACATCACATATACTGCATTTGAATGCCTCTGCACTGTTTTTGAAGGTGCAGACGCTACAGTCCCAAAATCCGTTGTCTGCAGAGGGCTTGGCTTGTCTTTTTGGCCTGCAAGATTTAAAGGGAGCAATGGTTAGGGCATTTAAATAGCACGCTGCACCCTAATTAGTGCAAGTGTCATCATGTGCACTTAATTCTACGCGCTGGAGACTGTAAACCAGGCTCCACAATCACACCATTACGCGATTTAGCATGCCTAAAGGGCAAACTAGCTTTATCTGTTGACAAAAAGCCGAGTGAAATAGAAGAGAGGAGGCGTTTCCTGAATTCCCTTTGTCTAAAGCTGGATACCGGGAGTCAGGCAAGGCTCCGTATCCGCCATGGCTGCGCTTTTTTCCGTTAAATCCGACCAGGAAAAATAAGTAGACTTCATCCGCATTACGCGGCTATTCGCCGGTGTACACAAACGCACGAGCTGCTTTACAAAAAGGCAGAGTAATCGAGTCGTTTCTATACCTGGATGGGCTTTTCTTGTCGCCCATAATGGGAGAAACACCGTCTTCCAGAGGAGGGGGCTTCTGTAATGTACAGTGTGAGCTCCAGACAGAGCCGCTGCTGCTGTTATCGCACACTTGCACTCGCTGACCGCTGCAGCGCAAGGCGTCGGTCCGTCACGTGACCCCGTTCTTGGCCAATCACGACTCGCGCACGTTTAAAAGTCTAAATGTTTTATAAAGAAATTTGCTCGTTTGATTGATATGAGAGCTGCAGACCGCGTGGATTTGTTGTAGGGTATAAAGGAAAATTACAAAAACTAAAAAATAATCGATGGCCTTTTTTGTTGGATATCCAGTTGAGTACACTGAAATATGGGAACTGGAGGTAAAAAAAAAATGAACGTCGGAAAATGACTGGAATTGAAAGCAACTTTTAAAAACTAAAGAGCTGCAGAAAAATAGATTTGACCAACATGAGCTGTTTTAACTGATATTTAGCCCTATGTATATAGCAAACTAAAACAGGAGTTTTTTTTACTATGTAAAACACGTGTAAGTTAGACTCCATGGGAATGTTTCTGGGCCCATAGTATTTTCTTTTAAGGGAAATCATAACAAATGTAAACATTTTATGAAACATTAATCTTGTGAAATTATTATGTTATAAAACTAATCAATCTATAAATCTAAAGATTAAAATAAATAATTAGTCAGACATTTTATTAAAATAACCTATTTGTGTTCAAAATCAATTAGTAAATTAAAACTGGATACAAGATTATCTAATGATAAAAATGATCAAATAATTTACAACAAAATGTATTAATAAATATGATTCAAATAAATCAACAAAATAAATAATACAATTATAAATAAATATGCAAATAAATGAATACAGTACAATAATGAGTGTAATAAAATGTAATAGGCGGTTCATACCATTGTGGTGACCCCTGATACGGATTAGGCTGAAGGAAAATGAATGAATGAATAAAATGCAATAAAGCAATGTAATGATAATTATAAGTATGTATTTTCCACCAATTTATTATGTAAATTTTACACATAAAAAAACTTAATGCCTTTTGTTTTATGTAGGTGGTCTTTTAGATGGAGATCTGGTTTTGCTGCGCGACATAAGAAATGTGTATGTATATGTAACCAATTAAACTAAGTAAATTAAACTAAGTAATCTAGGTATGATATTTAAAAAAATCGAAATATACAAATAAATATAAAATATTATAAATATATTATTATTATTATTGTATTATAATTCATTCATTCATTTTCTTGTCGGCTTAGTCCCTTTATTATTCCGGGGTCGCCACAGCGGAATGAACCGCCAACTTATCCAGCAAGTTTTTATGCAGCAGATGCCCTTCCAGCCGCAACCCATCTCTGGGAAACATCCACACACACATTCACACACACACTCATACACTACGGACAATTTAGCCTACCCAATTCACCTGTACTGCATGTCTTTGGACTGTGGGGGAAACCAGAGCACACGGAGGAAACACACGCAAAGGCAGGGAGAACATGCAAACTCCACACAGAAACGCCAACTGAACCGAGGTTCGAACCAGTGACCTTTCTTGCTATGAGGCGACAACCTACTGCGCCCAGCAAAGCATTAAAAAATTCATGTTATACAAAAACAAAAAGGAAAAAAGCATATAAAAATTCATGTTTCACAGTGCACTGGATAACATTATTATCAGGTTTGCATAAAATTATTATTCATTCATTCATTTTACTTCAACTTAGTCCCTTTATTTATCAGGGGTCGCCACAGCGGAATGAAGCATATGTTTTACACAGTGGATGCCCTTCCAGCTGCAACGCAGTACTGGGAAACACCTACACTCTCACATTTACTTAAACATACACACACACACACATACTTGTTTTTGTGCATTGTGGGGGTCACCTGTCACGGTGGTTACGTAATGGGGACCACCCTTTCTGATGATGTTAGAGACATAAAAAAAATAGTTTGCCACACAAAAATACAAACTATTTCATAAAATCACTTCAGATTTTGGATATTCCGCAAATTTTTTTTTAGACCTGACACAGTGGTCACTTGTGGGGACATTTCAGGTTTTGTGTAGAAGTGGGGTCCGCCACATACACAACCGATTTTTAGACAAAGTGGGGACCAATTCTACACACACTTTACTGGTTTTGAGACAAAGTAAGGACCAGTTCCAGATACACATTACCGGTATTGAGTCAAAGTAGGGACCAGGTCTACACACACATTACTGGTATTGAGTCAAAGTAAGGACCAGATCTACACACACATTACTGGTATTGAGTCAAAGTAGGGACCAGATCTACACACACATTACAGGTATTGAGTCAAAGTAAGGACCGGATCTACACACACATTACTGGTATTGAGTCAAAGTAAGGACCAGGTCTACACACACATTACCGGTATTGAGTCAAAGTAAGGACCAGGTCTACACACACATTACCAGTATTGAGTCAAAGTAAGGACCAGGTCTACACACACATTACCAGTATTGAGTCAAAGTAAGGACCAGGTCTACACACACATTACCAGTATTGAGTCAAAGTAAGGACCGGATCTACACACACATTACCGGTATTGAGTCAAAGTAAGGACCAGGTCTACACACACATTACCGGTATTGAGTCAAAGTAAGGACCAGGTCTACACACACATTACCGGTATTGAGTCAAAGTAAGGACCAGGTCTACACACACATTACTGGTATTGAGTCAAAGTAAGGACCAGGTCTACACACACATTACCGGTATTGAGTCAAAGTAAGGACCAGGTCTACACACACATTACTGGTATTGAGTCAAAGTAAGGACCAGGTCTACACACACATCACTGGTTTTGAGTCAAAGTAAGGACCAGATCTACACACACATTACCGTTTTTTAGTCAAAGTAAGGACCAGTTCTACACACACACATTACCGGTTTTTAGGCAACATGGGGATCAGATCAGCACCCTTACTAATATTAAATTTTAAACCTCAATCAAGTAATTTGACAGTAAACTGCTTTAGAATTTTCATTTGAAGAGCAGGTCAGTTTATAAAAAATGTAATTTGAATACAGAAGGAACCTCAAGATCCAAACAGGAAATGGTCCAGAATAAATTTAATAAATGTTATATTTATCATAAATAATTTCCACAAAACCTTTAAACACAAAAAACAGTAAACACAAAATCCATGAAACTCTCTTGCATGTCTAAAAGCAGTTCTCATTGGGTATAACAAGCTTCCACATAACTCTTCCATGTCTGCATACACATTTAGTTAAGTGCAATAGCAAACAATATTAAACGGTTAGTTCACCCCAAAATGAAGATTCTGTTATTAATTCCTCTCCTTCATATTGTTTCAATCCCTTGCTGTCTATGGAGGATGAGGAGTTCTTGCACTTCATCTAAGTTATCTTCCTTTGAGTCTGAAGATGAATGAAGGTCTCAGGGGATTAGAGTGAGATGAGGGCAAGTAATTAATAATATAATGTACATTTTTGTGTAAACTCTTAAAACCCACCAGTATGTTCTATTTCTGTTTCTGTCGTATTTTAACTATTTGAAAAAAAACATTAAAAATATTTAAAAATACATTTATAAAGAACTGAACCCCACAAATGCACAGAGACCTTTATCATATAACCAAGCCACCAAAACTCCAAATAGACATCATTTGTTAAGCATTAACTCTACATTAATAGTAAGCAGTTTATAAACACAGCTAGATGCTCTATTGTTGACTTATAAGCATGTGTTATGTGCTCAATTTTTGTGTTTTCATACTTTGTTTATAATTAATTTTTCATTACTAAATGAAGTATTGCATTATTTACAAACTGTCTAAGAATAATTGGTGTTTTTTAAGATCATTAAGAATGAGTAAATAAATGATTAAAAAACTATATAAATTAACATTTATACATTTAATATTCAGGCATATAATTAGGGCTAAAAAAAGAAAAAAAAAAAGAAAATCCAATCGGTTCACTCTAAGCAAAATTTATATTTTTTCGGTTCTGTTCTTGCGTTGCTTAATAGACAAAATATTCCGAAAACAGTTTTCTAGAAAAAAAAAAAAAACTTTATTTAATTACAAAGTATTGCAGGGCTCTAGAGTGCTCTGTTTTTTTTAATGGTGCAACTAAAAAATCTATACGAGGGGTAAGATTAAATGAATTTTCAATAAGTATCATTAAAGACATATTTATAATATGAACTTGCTTTTGGTTATTGATTGACACACTGTTTAAAGGTGCTACACACAGCCTCACTCCTTGGTATCGAGCGCAGGCCAGGCACTACATTTAGATGTTGTATAATATGAAATAGCAATTAAATTATGAAAATTGTTATGAAATAGTTTTTCAGTTATGTAGCCTAATAAAAATATTTAGTACACTGCACAGTGCAATTATTATTTAAATTTATTATATCCATTATTATTAATATTAGTAAAATTGACAAAACACAGAACTCTTTTGAACGTTTGCTTTCATTTTGACATGCTAAAGCGCACTTTTACAGTTTTGTAAAGAAACATCCCATTATGCAGCAGCAGTCAAGTTAGGACACTTAAAAATGCCTTTTGTGTTCAAAGATGAACGGCCTGCGAAGTCAAGTTTACATGGTTATAAATTAAATAGATATAGCCTAGTGTGTAAGTGAGTTTGCTGCAGATCCACCTCTCACATGTGCTGCAGGTAGGGTAAATGATAATCTTTTTTAAAAATTTACTTTAGGCTATACTGCTATTTGCTCATGCAAAATTAAACACCAGAAAATATATCGTAGGCCTATATTAAGAGCTAAATTACAGTTAGCATCATATTAGTTCAATTATGTGCTGTAGGCTATTGATTGACCAACACCCCCTGTATACAGTTTACCCACTGCAGGTCTACAGTTCTGATGTGTATTTTGAATTACTTGTTTTAAATGACAGTAAGACATGCTATATTAAGTTTTTATTGTAAAATATACATTATAATCCAGTACAAAGTAAAATAATATTTATTAATGGCCTATTGGCAGCGTATAGCCGTTAAGCTTATAGTCTAAGCATGTCATTTTATTATAATTAACATAAATTACAAACTAATACAGAAAAAACGTTTCTGTATATTTTTATTAAACGAAAAATGCAATGAGTTATACTTTGGTTTTAATTTTATTAGAAATTTAATAGCCGTTTAGGCAACACTACTTCTACATGTCATTGGCTCTGATTGCGTTTTTTACAGATAACCTATATACAAAGATTTTTATTAAACAAGTGCACTACCACAAGATATTTTTGTAGGTGTAAAAATCTAAAAAGTATCATTATCATATTCTTGCCTTAATCATCTTTAATATAAATATAAAATTTAACACATTCATTGATTAAACTAGGGATGCTAACGATTACTCGATTGATTTATTGTCGGTAACCCTTTAAAACCGATAGACCTTATCGATGACCGATTAAGCATGGGCATTTAATAAGTTATGCTTTGCTCTTTGAGATGCGTCCACGATTTCACACATTACATAATCAAGTGTGCGCAGTTTAGGCTACGTTACCCTTTTTTAGACAGTCGTGCACTCTCTTGACTTTGCATATTGGTTATGCACATATTGGTCATACCTATTATGCTCAGATCTCGTTTATCCGCTGGTGCTGCCATTAATCCGCTGGTCAAGTAATCAAAAAGTAGGCTACATGACGTTTAATTATGGGCAGGTTATTAAGACCAAACATTGGTTGTGCAAACTTTATTATGTTCTCTAAAATTTTAAAGTGTTTTAGGCTACATTATCTTTTATAGACTGGCATAGGCCTAAATACGCATCACGGCCAGACATTTATAGTTTATATAAAAACGAGCGTCACCGTCGCATTTGTTCACATGCTTTAAATTAATGCTTTTTGTCTCCCAAATTCATATAATAAAGAGAATGATAAAATAACATTATTAACTGTTTAACTGTAACCATTTCTGTTCAGAACGATTAAAGTTGATCTTTTTTTTCGGTTTTCGTTTCTGTTCCTGAAAAATGTCATTTGATTCTGTTTTTCGTTTCCGTTCCTTGAACCGGTTTGGAGCCCTGCATATAATACGTTTTTCTGCATGTTAAATAATGCTTTATTAACTCAACTTCATGCAGTTTTGAGATCTAATCTAAAGTGAGGAATATTGATGCTTTATAAATCCCTTATAAATGACAATTAAAGGCTCAGAATCATTCATTTATTCATTTATTTTCATTTTGGTTTTCTCTCTTTATTAATCCGGGGTCGCAACAGCGGATTGAACCACCAACTTATCCAGCACGTTTTTATGCAGCGGATGCCCTTCCAGCTGCAACCCATCCCTGGGACACATCCATACACATACACACTCATTTACTACGGACCATTTTAGGCTACCCAATTCACCTGTACCGCATGTAGGAGCACCTGGAGGAAACCCACACCAACACAGGGAGAACATGCAAACTTTACACAGAAATGCCAACCGACCCAGCCAGGGCTCGAACCAGCGACCTTTTTGCTGTGAGGTGACAGCACTACCTACTGTGCCACTGCGTTGCCAGGCTCAGTATCAAATAAACAATAAGTATTTGCAATTGTACCTAAACAAATACAATTACTGTAAATTTTAAACATTGCTGAATAACAGGAGTGTCGAAATACAACATCATTTGATAAAATAATATAATAATTTAACAATACATTACGTGTAAAGCAATTTTATATTTAGACAAGATTGCAATGATTTACTTTTCATTTGATACAGTTTCATTTGAGCATCTTGTAATAAGTAGAAATGAATATTCATTTTTTTCCTGTATATAATGTAACTGAGCCTTATATTGTCATTTATAATGGATTTATAAAGCATGAATAGCCCTCGCTTTAGATTAGATCACAAAACTGCATGAAGTTGAGTTCATAAAGCATTTATTAACATACTAAACAACTTATTATATGCCTGAATAATAAGAATTATCAATGTTATTTTGAATAGTTTATTAATCATTTACTTGCACATTCTGAATTATCTAAAAAAAAAAACACCAACTACTTTTAAATATCTGGTTTGTTAATGATGTATTTTTCATTACTAAATTAAGTATTGCATTATTTACCAAGTATGAAAACAATCATTAAGCACATTATAATTGTGCTTATAAGTCAATAATATTTGTAATTTATATTTATAAATATAATTTATAAACTGCTTACTAATGTCTATTAATGTAGCGTTAATGCTTAACAAACGTTCAACTAACTATTTGCGAATGTTTCATAAATAATTCATTGTGTGCAGTTATTATAGTGTTACCCAACATTTATATATCTTATTAATCAGGCATATAGTAATGGTTACTCTGTCTAATAATAAATGCTTTATGAACTCAACTTCATGCAGTTTTGTGAGCTAATGTAAAGTGAGGACTATTGATGCTTTATAAATCCCTTATAAATGACAATTAAAATCTCAGCTATATTCTAAACAGAAAAAAGAAATAAATTAAAAGGGAGAGTGATTTATAGCTTTATATATATATATATATATATATATATATATATATATATATATATATATATATATATATATATATATATATATATATATATATATATATATATATATATATATGGTGAAGCAGTGGCGTGGTAGGTAGTGCTGTCGCCTCACAGCAAGAAGGTCGCTGGGTCACTGGTTTGAACCTCGGCTCAGTTGGCATTTCTGTGAGAAGTTTGCATGTTCTCCCTGCATTCGTGTGGGTTTCCTCCGGGTGCAAAGGCACAGTCCAAAGACATGCTACAGGTGAATTGGGAAGGCTAAATTGTCCCTAGTGTATGAGTGTGACAGGCCCATATGACAGGCTGGCCGGAAGGTGTAAAAAAGTCGTTATCATATGGACAAGTCTAAAACTGAAGGACTTGTTCCAAAAAGAGCCGACCCCGCAATCATACGGGACTAAGGCCAAAGAAGATATATATATATATATATATTTTTTTTTTTCATTAATTTCAAGATACACAAATGAAACTATCTAATGAAAAATAAATCTTTGCAATCTTTGAAATCTAAAATTACTGTACAGTGCAAACATCACAGAAACACTGAAATGAATATTGCCATATTGTGAATTATGTTGTTTTGAAATGATGTTGTATTTTTATTTTGCAATGTTTAAACTTTACAGAATTTTTTTAATAAGATTGCAAAGATTTATTGTTCATTAGATACTGAGCCTTTAATTGTCATTTATAAGGGATTTATCAACTATAAACAGTCCTTAATAGATTAGGTCACAAAACTGCATGAAGTTGTGTTATTATAGCATTTACTAACACACATGGTTACAATTTCTATATGCCTGAATAAAACATGCTAATTTAATTATTAATGTTCATTTGAATAGTTTATTAATCATTTAATAACTCATTCTGAATTATCTTTAAAAAAACCACCAACTACTCTTATATACAAATAGTTTGTAAATAATGCAATACATAATGTAGTAATGAAAAATGAATCAGTAACAAAGCATGAAAATACAATTAAGTCAAGTCAAGAATACAGCGTTTGAAGCTGTATTTATAAACTGCTTCCTAAAGTCTATTAATGTAGAGTTAGTGCTAAACTAATGATGTATAGTGTGTAGTTACTATGAAAGTGTTATTCAGAATTTTTTTTTTCTAAAGAGCCGAGATTCAGTTTTTAATATAAAAATCCAAAGCTGACCAATCTCTGGATTTTAGAGCCAATGGTTCAGCTTTCACCACAGCATGTACTTCCTGTTTGCTCCAGGATCTTCTCTTTATGGGACCTATGGGTGATTAAAATATAAAAAAGTGGTTTTAGTTGCATAAATGTTCAGTCATTTTTACAACATGTGCTGTTATGTTAGTTTGATATTGTGATAGAAAATGCTAGAAAAATATGTCTTGCCTATTATTAAAAATACTTAAGATGGAGATGTATTAAAAAATACTTCCTATTAACTCCAAAACTGGTTAATGTGGTTACACTTTATTCCATAGTCCAATTTAGACATTCTTCTAACTATGCGTAACTCTGCAACTACGTTAATTATCTCACCGTAAAGTATTATGTGTTAGAGTATTTGCATACTGTTAGAATGTTCAATAAGACTAACGCTCATCTGATTATCAGTAGAGTATTAGCAGACTGTTAGCTCAAGTTTAGCTCAAAACACTACACTGTAACACATATCTGTTAATTACCAGTTCCTGTATTTTGTGATTTACAAGTGTTTTTTTTTTGTTTTGTTTTTTTGTGATGGTGAATTGCATTATGGGATGTTGATCTCTGCTCTGTGCACTTTTGATGTTGAAAATTCAACTCTACAGTTTAACAAAGTGAATTATACTGACATTTTAGTAGTTTGAAATAATATAATGTATAAGAAATAATATATAGAGATAAATAAGTCTTTAGAATAACAGAAAATGTACCGGCAGTTTATTACAAGGTTTCTGTAGCATAATATACAACAACAACCCAAACAAAAAGTCACTTTTTTTTTACTTTTTAAGATTAAAAGTTGTTGGAAGAAAGATCAAGATCCCATAATGCAATTCAAAAGCAGAAACAAACAGATTTCATAAAAACAAATTATGAAAAACTGCTAATTTAATCATTATTACTTATTTTTATTAATTTTAGAGTGTAGAGTATTAGCTGACAGTTAAGGTTACCTCAATAAAACCAACTCTCATTGGTCTCAGTAAATAGTACAGCAGACTGTTAGGTTACGCTCAAAATTAGTACAATATGACTAACTCTTATATTAATTTAGCAGAGCATTAGCAGTGTTGATTCTAACAGACAGTCTAATGACTGTTAGTTGACAAGTAGTTGCAGTTACTTGTAGTTAGTAGTAGTAGTAGTAGTAATAGTAAAGTAAATTATCAAAATAAAGTGTAACCAGATATGCAATTAGTATATTTTTCCAAAGTATTTAGCAATATTGTTTAACTAACATGAAATGAGACATCAAGTGCCACTGTACTGAAATCATCATGGAAGTAATGTGCTTCTGTCCTGTTTTACCCTACATGTTATGTAAATGAGCTTGTGCATTCGGACTTGTACAATAACACAAGTCAGTCACAAATTAACTTTAATGATCATACCTCTCTTTTTTGTGAATGCTGGGTCTGCTTCACTATCTTCACACACACTGTACCATGGTGATGATACTTGAGGGGACTCTGAAAGTAAAAATCAAGTCTGAGAGTTGACTTCTCTGCATAAAGCTTACCAAAATATTTGAGAGGGTGCTCGCTGCAGAGCCATTTGAGGAGAGGTGAGCTCCAGAGAGGGGGAGCATGAGCTGTCGCTCCTCCTCCTGTAAGCTGTTTTAATGCGTACACCAACCCCACCCCTAACCCTACCCCCAGTGACATCACTCGTAGAAGAAGTGCAAAAAAGGTGGAGCTCAAGCTTAAGCTCCCCCTCTCTGAAGCTCACCTCTCCTCAAATGGCTCTGCAGCGAGCACCACTTGAAATATTTATTTGATTTTGTGTTGTTTTTTTTTAATGGGTAAAAGCGTGTGATGGTAGCTTAAAAATAGTTTTCAAACATAGCACATACATATCATGATAAAAATAAACATTCTGAAAAAGAAAAATTCTGATCAGAAAAATAAATAATATTTTTACCTTTTAGATTGGACTTCACCTTCTCCAAAATCACGATCCACTGTAACTTTCTCTGAATGTAAAAACCCACACAAAAATACATCATTTAAAACAATATGATATATGTTTGCAAATACAAATGTGTATATAACATCCAGAAAATCTGGCACTGTATTACATGTTTGTGTGTAAACCCACGATTTGATCAAGATTCCACCCTTTAAAATCTGCCCAGCGTCTGTTTTCAAGTCCCAGAAAAACTGAGTTGTGGGAACAGAGCAGTTCTCTTCTGCAGTCATACAGTCATAACACACACATACATATGAAGAGTTTGGTTGCAAAATGCGATAAACGGCATTTTTTGACATTTGGATTTTATTATTGGAAATCACTGTTCAGATGTACCTTAATCTATGTGTGAATTGCTGCCATTAATAACATTTAAGAATGCACATTTTAGGCCAAGTACAAAACGTTTTTTTTTTTCACAAAACGCAATTTCCGTCAGACCAGTTTCTTTACAAAGTGCGATATACAGTTAGAGAACGTTCAGGATGCGGCGTGAGCTCAGCATCCCCTGGGAAGAGAGTCATCGCCGGTGAAGTGCTCAGAGTTTGCTCATTGATTTAGCGATAGAAGATGAAGTCTTCAACTTCACAAAAATTTATAAAAACGCCACAAAAGTGGACCAGAATAAGATACTTCTGCATCAACAATACACAAATGCAGCAGGGAACGAGTCTCCGCTAATGTCAAAAGAAGGCCTAGGAGCGCCTTTTTTTCTACTCCCCATCACAAGATACCTGTCTGCAAGGCGACATTTCTAAGTGTCCTTTATAAGTTTATTTTTTAAATAATTTCTTAAATGTAGCCGAGTAGCCTATCTGAAGATTTATTTATGCGGTTGCACCTATTATTTATAATTTATTCTTGTTGTTGTTGATTTATTATAAAGGAACTTAAAGGGCACATGTTGTTATGGAGAAAACGGTTTAGCTTTTTCACAACCAAATAAATAAGCTATTGTTATTATTATTACAGTGAAATAATTCATTAAATATGACATAGCGAGGCAAGTTTGTGTCACGGACTCAGCTCCGCCCGCTCTAATCATACAGGTTTGGTTTTCTGCAGCGGTGTGGAAGGAGCCGCCCTCCACTCTTTCTGTACCAAGCTAAAGGTCATTTATCTAACTAACTTAATCTTACTTATCAAACAAAACATTGATTCACTAGCTTTTGGTAATGGTATTAATGTAGTATAATATAGCCTAAGGTGGATGTAGCGTTTTGCAAAAAAATAAAATAAAGTTATGTTATGTTGTGTACATTCTGGCCAAATCTAACTTAGAATCTTATTATTATTAATCAATCTTTGCATATATTATTCCATATATTTATGGTGTATAGTTTTTTTTTTAACCAATTTAAGATGTTTGACAATGTGGGTTGGATTAATATGTAGCATTTTGGCATGTTTTTTTACTTAATTATAGACATAAAATTAAATAAAAAATATCCTGGATTTGAAAATATTGTGTTCCTGGCCTTCACTGAGCTTAAGTTATAGTTTAATGTACAAAAATTGTGAATGAACTTGACTGTTGATGTCCTGAAAAATAATGTCAAAATTACCAACATTTTTTTAAATGGATATATCTCGTTCTGCAATGAAACTCTTCATATACAGTTGAAGTCAGAATTATTAGCCCCCCTGAATTATTAGACAGCTTGTTTATTATTTCCCCAATTTCTGTTTAACGGAGAGAAGATTTTTTTCAACACATTTCTAAACAATAGTTTTAATAACTATTTCTAATAATCATTTCTAATAATGGACTTATTTAATCTTTGCCATGACGACAGTAAATAATATTAGACTAGATATTCTTTAAGACACTTCTATACAGCTTAAAGTGACATTTAAAGGCTTCACTAGGGTAATTAGGTTAACTAGGCAGGTTAGGGTAATTAGTCAAGTTATTGTATAACGATGGTTTGTTCAGTAAATTATCGAGAAAAAAATATAGCTTAAAGAGGCTAATAATTTTGTTCCTTAAATGGTGTTTAAAAAAATTTAAACTGTTTTTATTCTAGTCAAAATAAAACAAATAAGACTTTTTCCAGAAGAAAAAAATATTATCAGACATAGACAGCAGTACTCAAGGTTCGCGGTCTCCACTATGTCAGGCCTTACTGTGTGTGTATTGAGGACTAAGTGTGTTTAACAGCTTCTCTAACATGCCTCTGGTCCCCACAATGTCAGTGCATATGTTCACCAATAAGGACACACACTCTGTTTCATTTCTATATTTTGATTAAGTTAAATAATTACAATTAAATACACCACTACTACAACAACAACTACTATTACTACTACAACTAATAATAATAATAATAATAATAATAATAATAATTGTTATTATTATTATAAACACACCTCATCAGAGTTGTGGGTCTCCTACTGGAGCAGAGCAGTTCTCTTCCTCTGTCATATGGTCATCCTTCAATAAAAGCTGAAAAAAATAAAATGTATATATATATATATATTAGTTAGACAGTAGTACTCAAGGGTCCCGGTCCCCACTACGTCAGACCTCACTGTGTGTATTCAGGACTAAGTGTGTTTCACAGCTTCTCTAACATGCCTCTGGTCCCCACAATGTTACACTAGTGCATACGTTCATAAATTAGGACACACACTCTGTTTCATTTCTATATTTTGATTAAGTTAAATAATTACAATTAAATGCACTACTACTACAACAACAACTACTACTACTACTACTAATAAAAATAATAACAACAACATTAAACACACCTCATCAGAGAGTTGTGGGTCACGTACTGGAGCAGAGCAGTTCTCTTCCTCTGTCATATGGTCATCCTTCAATATAAGCTGAATATAAAAAAATTTATATTAGTTAGACAGCAGTACTCAAGGGTTCCGGTCCCCACTATGTCAGACCGTACTGTGTGTGTATTCAGGACTAAGTGTGTTTCACAGCTTCTCTAACATGCCTCTGGTCCCCACAATGTTACACTAGTGCATACGTTCATAAATTAGGACACACACTCTGTTTCATTTCTATATTTTGATTAAGTTAAATAATTACAATTAAATGCACCACTACTACAACAACAACTACTACTACTACAACAACTAGTAATAATAATAACAACAACAACAACAACAACAACAATATTAATAAACACACCTCATAAGAGAGTTGTGGGTCTCGTACTGGAGCAGAGCTGTTCTCTCCTTCTGTCATATGGTCATACTTCAGCAAACCTGAATATAAAAAATATATATATTAGTTAGACAGCAGTACTCAAGGGTCCCGGTCCCCACTATGTCAGACCGTACTGTGTGTGTTTTCAGGACTAAGTGTGTTTCACAGCTTCTCTAACATGCCTCTGGTCCCCACAATGTTACACTAGTGCATACGTTCATAAATTAGGACACACACTCTGTTTCATTTCTATATTTTGATTAAGTTAAATAATTACAATTAAATGCACTACTACAACAACAACAACTACTGCTACTACTACTACTACTACTACTACTACTACTACTATTACTACTATTACTAATAATAATAACAACAACAACAATAATAAACACACCTCATCAGAGTTGTGAGTCTCGTACTGGAGCAGAGCAGTTCTCTTCCTCTGTCATATGGTCATCCTTCAATAAAAGCTGAATATAAAAAATAAAATATATATATTAGTTAGACAGCAGTACTCAAGGGTCCCGGTCCCCACTATGTCAGACCGTACTGTGTGTGTATTCAGGACTAAGTGTGTTTCACAGCTTCTCTAACATGCCTCTGGTCCCCACAATGTTACACTAGTGCATACGTTCATAAATTAGGACACACACTCTGTTTCATTTCTATATTTTGATTAAGATAAAGAATTACAATTAAATGCACCACTACTACAACAACAACTACTACTACTACTACTACTAATAATAATAATAATAATAACAACAACATTAAACACACCTCATCAGAGATTTGTGGGTCACGTACTGGAGCAGAGCAGTTCTCTTCCTCTGTCATATGGTCAACTATCAATATAAGCTGAAAAAAAATAAAATATATATTAGTTAGACAGCAGTACTCAAGGGTTCCGGTCCCCACTATGTCAGGCCTTACTGTGTGTGTATTGAGGACTAAGTGTGTTTCACAGCTTCTCTAACATGCCTCTGGTCCCCACAATGTTACACTAGTGCATACGTTCACCAATTAGGACACACACTCTGTTTCATTTCTATATTTTGATTAAGTTAAATAATTACAATTAAATGCACTACTACTACAACAACAACTACTACTACTACTACTACTAATAATAATAATAATTATTATTATTATTAAATTTAAACCCACCTCATCAGAGGGTTGTGGGTCTCCTACTGGAGCAGAGCAGTTCTCTTCTTCTCGTCATTTGGTCATACTTCAATAAAAGCTGAATATAAAAAACAAAAAATAATAATTAGACAGTAGTACTCAGGGCTCCTGGTCCCCACTATGTCAGACCGTACTGTGTGTGTATTGAGGACTAAGTGTGTTTCACAGCTTCTCTAACATGCCTCTGGTCCCCACAATGTTACACTATTGCATATGTTCATAAATTAGGACACACACTAAGTTAAATAATTACAATTAAATGCACTACTACAGCAACAACATCTACTACTACTACTACTAATAATAATAATAATAATAATAATAAACACACCTCATCAGAGAGTTGTCGAAGCAGTTCTCTTCTGCAGTCATATGGGCATCCTTCAATGAAAGCTATTTAAAAACAGCTTTGTTATATAAGTCATGTCATGACTATAAAGCTTTCATGACAGTCTTATGAACCCCCCTTTAAAGTAAAGCATTACCCAATTAATGTAACTTTTTTTTACCCATTAAGACAAGAAGAAGATATTAAGAGATTGATTTCATTATCTCTTATGAATGATGCAAACTCTTTATTTTTGAACAGATTTACCCTTAATCTATATTAACATTAAAAAAACTCTTAGCTTTGCTGAATGTATTAAGGATTAATGTATTAAGTGATCAAAATGTCAAACCTTTCTCCAAGGCCAATCACATGCGCCATAGTCAAACGTTATTTCCTCTCCAAAGAAAATATCCCTGATTGCAAAAAGGCACAAATGAGGTTTTCTCTGAACAACGATCTTATTGACAGTGCAGTTAGGGTGCAGATGGTCATCATTCACCAGCCGGCCGAGGGTCTCGTCCTCATGATCGGCATCAATGCTGCAAAACTAAGAGAAAAGAGCAAGCAACATTTTAATTATGCCCTCTCATAGCAATGAAAAGCTAACTATGGC